TGGCTTTTGCTGCCAGTGCACAGGAGTCTGCACGACGAGGAGCATCCGCCAAGTGGCCTCCGCCGCCACCGCCGCCACAGTTGCCAATCCCACCTCCGCCGAGCGGCCCTCCCCACCACCGGGACCACCCCCGCCGGGGCCTCCCCCGCCAGGGCCACCCCCGCCACCTTCGGAAGCCGGTGGCCAGGCCAGGTCTGTTCAGCAAGCCAGATAAACCTTAAGCTTCTTTGACATCAAAACAATCCGCTGCCAGGACCAGAAGCAGGAAGCAGATGAGGAAGAGGAAGAGGAAGTGGAAGTGGAAGAGCAGGCACGGGTCACTCTACTAAGTAAATGAGCGCTGGTGAAAGTGCTCGCAGGTCTGCCAGGCAGGCCAAGTCTAGGAACTGAGCGCTGGTGAAAGTGCTCAAAGGGTCCAGGTCTAGTCTGAGAACTGAGCGCTGGTGAAAGTGCTTAGTACCTCCACTCATAGACTGTTGTCAACAGATTGTCCTGCAGCGCAGGTGACTTCTGCTTCCTCGTGGCAGAGGCAGCCCACTACGATAGGATCGTGGCAAAGAAAGCCGTCGCAAGGTACCTTGAAAAACCAGAAACAGCAGAAGCAAAAGCACCAGCAGCAGAAGAACGACAAGAAGGGCGGCCACGTGCAAGATGCCGCGCAGTACCGCCGAGACCTCTCCCGGGCGGAGAAGAAAGTGAGCAGTCTTCAGCAGGAGGTCACAAGGCTTCAGTGCGAGTTGCACAAGATAGACACCGAACGCCGGTGCGGAAGCCTTCTTGCGCAGTCCACACAAGCGAACGAGAAGGCTGCTGCAGAGAAGGTGAAGGAGGAGCAGCGTCTCGCAGCCGAGACTCGGGAGACAGCTCAGGAGGTCTCCAGGAAGCTCCAGGACAGGCCATGCTGGTGGTATCATGTTGCAACTTTGACATGCGTTGTTTCGTGCCAGGAGCACCAGGCCAAGCGCATCCAGGACCTCGAGGCAGCCCTGAAGGATACGCGGGCCGAGAAGGCCTGCCAGGCAGGTATCTACTTTTGAAATTTCTGCTTTAGCCTGTTCTCCATGAGGACAGAGTAAAGTCCATGAACAGCGACAAGGACAAGGCCCTGGACGGCTACAAGGCCACTGCATTTCATTCCGAATTTCCACAGTCAGCCCGTTTTGTGCTTCAAGACTTGGAAGCAATTCAACCCCGAACTGCCACACGCAAGGCCCAGATCTCCAAGCTCTTGACGGAGGCGAAAGAGGCCAAGGAGACCATTGGCCAGCAGGACAAGAAGCTGGTGAGGGCAGGAGAAGATCTCAGGCAGGCCTTGGACGCGGTGGAGAGGGGAAAGAAGTACAAGGACGGACAATCATGATCTTATCTTACGACGCTGATGATGCTCCTTGGTGTCAGGTAAACACCGACAAGAAGATCGCCGAATTGGAGGAACAGATCCACGAGGCAGTTGCCGAGAAGGCCAGGAAGGCACCATCTTGTTCCCAACATAGCTTTATGTTCTGCGTCAGGACAAGTACAAAAAGCTCAGCAGCGAGATGGGCCGGGAACTGGACAAGCGTCGGGCCTCTTTGCTGCACATTTCGAAGCAATCCTCAAGTCGAAGCAATCCTCTCTTCTGTGCCCCAGGCCTTGGACGCCAAAGAGGCAAAGATGCAGAAAGCCCAGGAGGCGAAGGAAAAGAAGACGGCCCAGGCGGCCAAGGACAAGGAGGCCCAGGCAGCGGCCTTTGCCCAGGCCAAGGAGGAACAGCAGGAAAGGCAGGCCAAGAAGGAGGCCCAGGCCAAGGAGGAGGGCCCCAAGGAGGGCAAGAAGGAGGTCAAAACGGCTAAACCGGCCAAGGCTCTGGAGGCTCCTTTCCAGTAGCCTGTTCGTGAGATGAAGCCAATCATGCTAGCCGCAGAACAAACGCTCAGGCCCCAAGTGCGAAGAGGCAGAAGGTGGCGGGGGTGGTCCCAGAGGCGGAGGCAAGTCTTTCAGTCTGAGCCAGCACGTAAATCAGATAATGAATCAAGAATCATGCTACCTCCCAAATCAGGTGAAAGATGCCAAGAAGGCAAAGACAAAGGGCGATGGTGAGGTGAGTGCGCTGTTTCGGGAGTAATGTCAATCAACAAACAAGCCATGATGTTTTGCCCAGGCGAGCACCGCTGCGAGATCGGCAAAGGAGGACTCGCTGGATCAGATACTTGAGGAGCTCTCATTGCTCACTTGATCAGGAAGCCGCTGAAAAGAAGATGACAAAAGATGAGGCCCCCCAACCCTGAGCCCAGTGTTTCGGATGAATGTGCACGATGGCATTTGGCAGGAGCCGCTGCCGATGCCCAGGTGATGCTGAGGCCAGCAGGACTCAGATTCAGATTCAGAGAGCAATATTAGTTCAACTCCCCTGTATCAGGAGACAAGCTGCAGCTGTGCGAAGCTGGCTGCTGGCAAAAAAAAGACATGCAGCTTTCATCAGCCAGGTTTGTTCTATTGGCTTTCGGCATGATAAACATCGATCTGCAGATGATGGCAGGATTCGTCGACAAAAGATGATGAACGCAGGCATCTCAGGGGGAGGGTGACACAGGCCGAAACCCAGACGCTGGCGAAAGTGTCTTTCTGTCATGATGGACGCTGGTGAGAGTGTCTATTCATGGCCTGTGCACACATAGATGCACAGATACACATGCATACATACATACATACATACATATATGCATACATACATACATACATACATACATACATACATACACACATAGACCTCCATACACCTAGATACACCTACATACACAAACACCTACACATAAACACATACACATACACATACATACAGTTATACAGATATACACATGCACATACACATACACTCAAACTAAGACTGGGTAATGAGCCCTCCAACATGCTGAGCTTTTTCGGGGTTGGGGGTTTCAGGCAGGTACCGTGGTAAATCATAAACCCAGCCCTGCTCTTCAACCTTCCTTGCCAAGGCTGGCACGACCTGCGCAGTGCCGATGCATCATCTGTCCTGCACCAGGATTCCGATTGCTTAATTAATCGCACATGCATCTAGACCCAGGAATCGGAAACCTGAGTGGAAAGCCAACAGATCGAAGTTTAATGCCGTTGGGTTAGAGGCCGAATAGTTTCCAGGGCAGGGCCGGGGATTGAATTGCATGACCTTCTGGACACACCAATTCCTGTGCACCAAGCCCGACTCCTCAGCCTCCTGGCAAACCCCTTCCCCTCCTCCTCATCCACACCCTTCCTCCCTCAGCCTCACACACCCCCTGGTCCGCCCCCCCCCTGACGACCCCTCCACCTCCTGACAAAATACTCCCTTTCCCCCCCCTCCTCCTCCTCCTCCTCCTCCTCCTCCTCACCCACACCCTTCCTCCCTCAGCCCACCCCCTGGTCCCCCCCTCCCCCGACTCGCCCACCCACTCAGACTGTCTTTGCGGCACTTTCACCAGCGCCTTCAATGCACTTTCTTCAGCGCAGATGTGTCGTCCGTCGTCAGGCACTATCACCAGCGCCATGATGCACTTTCTCCAGTGCACACATGTGTCGTCGTCAGGCACTATCACCAGCGCCATGATGCACTTTCTCCAGTGCATGTCGTCGTCACCGTCATCGTCGTGCACTGTCACCAGCGCTGACAAAAACCGTGATGATGTCGTAGACGGCGAGGTCGAAACCTGAGTGCCTGCAGGGCCCTGACCAGGAATGCAGGGGGAAGGTCTTAAGGTTGAGCAACTAGGGAATCTAGGGCATAAGGTCGTGTACCCAAATCAAACCTCTTAGGGACTTGGGGGTCTTAAGGTGGAGGTCTAGGGCATAAGGTTTTATGTGCAAATCAAACCTCTTAGAGATTTAGGGTGGGTCTTAAGGTTCAGGGTCTAGGGCATAAGGTCTTATACCAAAATCAAACCTCTTAGGGATTTAGGGTGGGTCTTAAGGTTCAGGGTCTAGGGCATAAGGTCTTATACCCAAATCAGGATTTAGGGTGGGTCTTAAGGTTCAAGGTCTAGGGCATAAGGTCTTATGTGCAAATCAAACCTCTTAGGAATTTAGGTGGATCTTAAGGTTCAGGGTCTAGGGCATAAGGTCTTATACCCAAATCAAACCTCTTAGGGATTTAGGGTGGGTCTTAAGGTTCAAGGTCTAGGGCATAAGGTCTTATACCTAAGTCAAGCCTTTTGGGTCTGGGTTCCAAAGCTTTAGGGTCACTTAAGGCCAAAGCTAGGGTGGATGCAGGACTTATAATGCCGATATAAGATATCTCAAAATGTTTAAGCTATCTCGTTTGTTCGATAGTTTGTTTTTTTTTGCAAATTTTCGCAGCGAGAGAGCAGGCAGTGTTGTCATTGTCCAAGTACATCAAAGGAGCCAAAAACAGACAACACAAAAACGAAAAGAACGCCAGACAAAACGAAAATTGGGACTAGCAATTACCACAAGTCCTTTGCTCCAGCCTGAAAGCGGTGCATAATTGCATAATTTCTACAGAGAAAGTCATGTGCTCCAGTGCAAAGGTTGCTCGAAAATCTTGCTTCTTAACGTTGGGTGCTTTTTGTTTTTTCTCCTCCTTCCCACGGGCGAAGTATTTAATTTGAGCCACAGCTAGGGTTTAGGGATTCGAGAGTGTAGGGTTTAGGGGCTTTTTTTGCTCACGGACGAGTCGCTTGAGCCACAAAAGACCCCCCAGCCACCATACCCGACAAACCCAAGCCACCAGCTCAATGCTTCAAACACCCCCCACAACCCCCAGACACACAAACCAAAAACAACAAAAGACACAAAGACCCAGTCTATGGCCCAGCAAGCTTGTTGAGGCTTCTTGATTTTCCCTTGCCTGGCCAGACATGCAGACATACTTGCAAAGAACTATTCAGTGCAGCAGCCTTCGGATTCCGAACCTGCCAGATTCGAGCATCACTCTTAGACCCCAAACCGTGAATGCCACACCTGCGGCGCAAAACCAGAACAAGACCACTCTCTACTCGGCGGGTCACACCCCCGCGCCGCGCTCTTCGCGCCCGCGGCCACTGGTCGGTGCCTGCACCGCATGCTGCTGGACCAGATCAGGGCTTGTGCGTTGCAAGACGCCGAGAGTGCTCCACTCGCTTGGCCGCAGCGCAGGGTCCCGGGATTCTGATGCACCTCTGCGTAGAAGCCTTATTTATGCAACCCTGATGCCCAGCCGGAATATGTTCGGGAAGCTCTCCTGAAGGACCGAATCGCAGTGTGGCAACTTCTTGCAACAGGGCATCCTTGGATGTGCTCGTGTCGAAGTCTCTGTTGCACGAGCAACTCTGATCCAAAACCGCCGGGCTTGAACCCTCAGATGCTGACACGCAGTAAGACTCGGAATGCTGAAGATTGGGCAACCACGGACCCGGAACTTGCTTCAAAACCTCAAAGCACCAGGTCTGAGGCCCATAAGGCCTCCCAAACGGCCTATAGGTCCCCGAGACTGTTACTTGCGCGAGGCCTCCCCAAGACGAGCCAAGGCCCGCAGGAACTTCCGGAAAAAGGCCTGAGACAAGCAGACAACACTTATCCGATCCGCAGCTGAAGGTCATTGCAACCGTAACCAATGCACAGGGCCAGCGCTAAGCTCCACAAGCAGAACTGTGATCAGACTCGTAGATCACGGCATGAATGACTGTGGCACTACTTGCATCCTTTCAGGACCTGGAACCTCTATCAGTTGCTGAAAGGATAGTACAGAACTCGATGCAGTCTCAAGTTTACAACTTTCTCAACCGAGTCAGGATGAGCTCGCGACCCATCCTTCGCACGCACGAAGCTTGGAAAGCGCAGTTCCCGTCTAGCCGCCTTCCCGGCAGTCCAGGACGGCAGAAGCAGAAGAAACGGCTCCGACAAGGCTTCCGCCTGTGGCCGGGAAAGTCGCATGGAAAATGCGCAGGCACATCCCACATAGCCGCGACTGCAACTTCCATGTACACTAACGGGTTACCCTAAAGACCTTGAAACCAAAGAACATTATGGCACAGAGTAGTACGACGCATGAGTCAGCATTAGCAATGGGATGGCGTGATGCGGGAGCAAGCACCTTGGCGGCACGCTGCCGCTCGAGGAGGAAGTCCAGTAGCCGGTTCTGCGAGCGTGGACAACGCATCGCTTGTGTGGTTGAGCTGTGGCAGGCACAGGACTGAGACCAAGAGCCCTCAACGGCCAATTGCGAAAGACCTTGCCGCCTTGCCAGCATTCCAGCCCCACAGCCGTGATGCAAGGTGTGATGAGAACGCGGAACACTGCGCTTTTCCGCCGCAGCCCGCAATGTAGCAAAAGGCTCCAATTTCGGATCCTGGCCTCGGAGGCGACTGGAGTCTCAGAGAGGGCTGGTTTGTGGGTTCGCGCTTGAAAGCTCCTGACGGCATTTGCAAATTGCGTGAAGCAAATGAATTAGCTTCCCCCTGCGAGTGTTGTGAGAATGTCAAGATGTCGAACCTGAGCCAATCCCGGGAGTTTCCCTGTATGCAGTTCGTCCAGTGACTTGCTGCGAAAACATTTGCAAACATGTCAAGGCGGCCGAAACTCCACAGGATAAAGGGCATGGTTGGTTTACACCGCCCTTTCAATGCTTTGACAAGAATCGTGTCCATCAACTAGTTTTTACTGATGCAGCTATTCGCGAGTGCCTCCCAGAAACCGCAGCACCACAAGGACTGCGAGAAGACACTCTGTCCGACCATGCAGCCGGCAGTTTGCTCTGCGAGGGCGTAGAGCATGTAGTGGTCCTCGGGTTCAGCAACACTCGGCCGTGCTGGAATTTCACAAGCTCACTGAATTGGATTTGGAAACTTGCTCCCGGCCCAGTGGAACACTGTGGAACGGATGGACCTGCGCTTAAACAGAGGACTGACGCTAATGCAAGATTTTAACGACAAGGTCAAAGACGGCCGATCCCTTTAGATCACACTTGTCCGTTTGCAGCCTAGGACCCGGAGTCGTGGTTTTGCCCAGAGGAACCCAAAGCCGATAGAGCGAAGGGTGTGAAGCAAAGTCACAGAAACGGCAAGGACCAAGACGAGCACCATTCCGCCCAAAAGATGACCGATTCCTTTGGCCCTGACCAAGCCGTTCAGATTTAAAGCGAATGCCCGTGGAACAGTTTGTGCCAAGAAGCTGGTATCTGGACTTGAGCCTCCACCCACCTGACAGGCGCACACACACAAGATACGGATTTGTCTATGTGGGCGTCACATAGAATGTACATAATAAGTACACACGCATGCCTGCCTCCAAACACGCCAACATAAGTACACATACAGTCACATACATGCATACATACGTAAAGGCAGGCAAGCCGGCAAGCAAGCGTCGGTTGCAGCATATGACATATGATAATGGATAGGTGTGTATACGTTGTGATTCTTTCACACATCCACAAGTATCACGATAACGAGAGGGATCTGTGCCTGCTCTGAAACAGACTGGAGCAACAACTTTGCAGCAATCGCGCAGTCAGAGTTGGGCCTAACGAACCTACCCCCGTACTCAAAGAAAGCCAGCAAAGACACCAGACCACCCTTAGCACGCGGGCACTGCAGCTAACCAGCGTGTTATTGACCGAGTGCAGCTTCCGTCCGTCCAGGATGTCACAGCATAGCACAATGCCACTGACAACAAGCCGATCATGCAAGCTGTCCAGCACCGCATTGAACTGTTCGAGGTTCACAAGACGGCATGTCGTCAGCGCCTTGTGGAGCAGCGCGTAGAAGCTTTGCAGCTAAGTGCGCAACCAAACGGGGCCGCAAGTGAACCACAACAGTTGCCCTAGCAAGCGTTCCAAATCCTTGCGAAGCATCTTGACTTCAGAGTGCAGCAGAGGCTTGAACATTCGTGGTTTTCGGCTTTGTCATCGGCAACACTGCCGTGAAAGAGTCAAACTAGAACTTCCACCCAATCCAAGAGAGCTGCTGTGAGAGTTTCAGCTTTTCCCAACTCAGTGGGACGCCCAGACCGCACGGTGGCATGAGGCTGGGCTGTCGCCTCACTACGCCCGTGAGCGTGGCGCCGGTCTCAAGTGTCTGTGTGGCCTGAGACTGCCAAATCGGCCTCACTCGCAGGACCTTAGTGCACACACTCTATAGCGAATTCAGGCCGGCACTTGCATGCCCACCACCCGAGTGCAGGAGCGCCTCTTTGCCAAGGAGGCCGAAAAGGTCCCTTCGCGTCCGCATGCCGACCAGCGTGGCCGCCGTAGTTGCGGCTAATTACAGGGTGCACTGCAAAACAGCCCAGTCGGCCAGGAAGGCCGAGTTGGTCAGCCAGTTGCACACTTCGCAAAAGAGAAGCGCAGGGCTCTCGTGAGTATATCGGCGAACGAAGCGACGCAAGCTGCTCAGCACGCAGTCACAAGGAGCGGCAAAGCCAGCCATCCACAGGAACGGACTGAAGCACGAGGACCGCAAGACGTTCGGCACCATATGCTGCATCATGTGCTGGGTGCTTGGGTCGCAGAGGCCACGAAGTGGAGCATTCACGACAGCATCGGGAGCTTCGGCAGAGCTCGTGGCAGAGACGCGTCGAAAGGGTGCGCGACGCCGAGCGGAGACAACGTGATGACCCTCTCGCGTACCCTATATCGTGGCGGCAAGGTCAACGCACTCAGCCCCTCCAACAACCGACGACTTGGTCCGGTCGTCATGGTAGGTCAGCGAGTCAAGCCCGGAGTGGCCACAAACACCTGCCACGGGTGCATGAGGCAGGCGGCCAAGACCGGACTGCAAGGACAGCCATGGACAAGACCACGACTGGCACAAAACCAAGCTTGAGAGCACCGGCCTAGGAAAGTCAAAAGACCGTACTGCTCGTTGTAGAAGCTGGACATTGCAAGAGCTGGTGAAGCGCAGGCAGGAAGCCCAGACGCTCTAACACCGGAGACCCGAGTCGAAAGTCGACAGTAAGTCTTCTTGGACGAAGGCCTTGGAATCAGACCGAAGGGCAGCCCCAACTAAGCGATGGGCTTCCAAAAGAGATCCCCCAGCCAATCCTCGATGTCACCAGGGGACATCCGCGGACCCACGTGGACAGGCCCTTGATGCCTTAATAACCAGGAGTCTAGCACCTGCACACTAGCACACAGCCGTCACGCCAACAGGAATGTAACCGCCGTTGGCTTTGCGAAGGAGACACCCACGGATGTACCTCCAAACCCGAGGTGCAGACGAGAGGACGCAACGCTGCAGCAAAGGCGCCCCACCAAGCCTGTACGGCATGTGCATCCGGACCAGAAGCTTTGCGGTGCGTCCGGAGAACAGGCCACTTGAGAGCAGAGGCAGACAAGTCGGGAGCGAAAGCCGCATGGGCGGGGAAAACAAGGCAACGCCGCCACAACCCGGAACGGCTCGCCTCGGAGAGAGCGTTGGCCGTCCACAAAGAAGTCCACTTCTCCTGCTGGGCGGAGCACAACAAAGCGCGCACAGTCCAAGTCAAGACAATCCAATGTGAAGCGAAGGTTCAGACTCCTCGCGAGCCACCTGTATAGAAGGCAGTCCGCGAAAACGAGCAAGCTCATGCAAGGATGGTGGCTGCCAAGTCACGAAGCTCGTGCCCAACGTGGTGCAGAAGAGGAGGCGTGGAGCCTCTCTCCACCAACTGAGACGACGCGCCCTTCGCAAACACAGGGGCTCAGAAGCGCTAGCAGCATGGCGCTGAGCAGGAGGACGGAAAGGACACGGATGCCAAGGCACATGGCGAGCTTAAGAGTCCGACCCGCATATGTTGTTCACAGCCCCATCAGCAAAACTGGAAAGCGCCTGCAACATATGTCATGGGCGTGTGCGCAAGCCGAAAAGTCACGGGCAAAGGCGACAGTATATCAAAAGCAGAAGCAACACTCTCGGCAGTAGGAGAGGACTGTGCAGGCCAGCGCTTGGCAGTAAAACCGGGGCCAGCCTCAACATGATGCGCCATGATCAGCGGTCCCAGGAGTGGTGCTGGTCGCGACAGGGGGTGGACAACACTAAAGTCCAACGTCGATCGTCCTGGCGCCCTGGGGCGCCGTCGGCGGGGGAGGCCCCATCCTGCAGCCGTCCATGACAGCGAAATCGTCGCCAGCAAGAAACCCTCGTCGAGGCGGCCGGCCAACAAGTCGCGGGTCTGAGAGCTATCCGACACGACCCCGTAGAAGGATGTGACAACCAGGCGGCTGATGACATCGTTATCCCGAAACTCAAACCAGCACAGTGGCGAGAAGACGTGGTACGGAAGCTAAAGGATTGCAAAGGCCCCTGGGAAACCAAAACAACACCTGACGATCTGACGCCCAGAACACCAATACGCCGCCCAACGGCAACCGAAGTAGCAAGAGTGGCAGCAGTACCACTGGTTGTCCTAAACGAAGCAGCTGAAGAACTGCTCGTCTTCGCGAACTTGAACAAGCTTATGCGCCCGGCGAACATCAAAACAAAGAGCCGTCCAGCAAGTCTCTGGCGGGCTGCACGAAGGAATCTCTGCAGCAAATGCAAGGTGTGAGGGCGGACCTTTACCAGAATACGGCACCTCGCGTTGGCTCCACTCACAAAGCAATCTCCGATCAAGCGAAGCTTTTTTCCGGCTGTATGTGCTACTCCTAGTTTCCCGACAGCTAAACTTCTGCCCCCAGCGAGAACGGTCAGCGGCCTGGCCACACCAGGAATTTCGAGCAAATGACCGCCATCGATGTCCTTTTGGAGCAGCTGCTTGGTGAGCGCAGGATCCTTGGGAGCTTGCCAGTTGGAATCCCTTCACTCAAAACAGGAGAAAGCCTGTAAGATTGCCAAAAGAGTCCCACACTTCCAGAAGCAGAGGTTGGAACTCAGCCACTGTCGGGAGCAGGGAAATCCCTTCGCGCGCGCACGCAAATTCAACCAGTCAGTTTCGTTGCGTCTTGAGCTCCTCTTGTGAGAAGAAGCAGTCGGGACAGCCCTTGTCAAACCAAGACCTGAGATGGTGAACCAAACCCCGACGAACCGCAAACGACTCGAACCTGCGCCTTAACCGCCTTAACCCTTGAAAATGATCCTTCGCAACTCAGCAGAGCCATGCAGCGTTCGACCCGTTGCCCCCACCATCTGGGACGCACAGCTTCGGTTGGTTGACTTGCCCGCG